CCCCAAAACCCCAAAACCCCAAAACCCCAAAACCCCGAGGGTATTTAAAGAAATAGAGAGTGGATGGGTGATAATAATTATGGATAATAAGAGTAGTGTTAGTGATAAGAAGTGTGTTCTTGAGAAGGAATGAGATGATTGGTCGGAAAGGGATTTTGATGAATGTAGTGATCCTGTGCAGATAGTCAGGACTTGAGAGGAGTTTGATAATGTTCTTAGATATAATAAAGGGAATAGGAAGGATAAGAAATGAACTTTTGGTTCGAAAGAGAACCATAGTTTTGATTGTAAGTTTGGGATGAATTCTGATTCAAAAAGTAAGAGGATACCTCATTCTCAGTTTCAAGTACTAGTTCCAGAAAATCTGAAGAAGAGCATAACTAATAGTTGTGTTTATAAGGCTAAAGAGGGTTCTAACCATCCTTCATTTTACATGAGGGGATCAAATACAGTCCTAAATCCCATTTCCATCCCTCATAACCGCACCAACCGAGCAGCCTTGCGTAAACTTTCTTCAGAGTTGATCCTCAGATCCCTCTTGCAATCTGACCAATAATTAATAATTTTGTGTATAAAGGATATTAAACCTCATCTTTATTTCACCATAAAACTCGGCTTAGTTAATACCAATATGTCAGACGCCTTCCTTACAACCCCTATCATGAACACTCAGGAAGGAATTTACCATACAAAGCCCATTAGTACAACCTTGAAGAGTAGTCTAAAACACTTCCAACCATAAACCGAACAAATTTCTCCCCCTACTCTCCCTATCTATACCCTAACCTCCATCTGCCACACACCTCCCTACTTCTCATACCATCAACAGCAGGCCAAACCTCTATTACAATTAGTATGAATTACGTACAATTCCTAAGCATTCACCAGCCCAAGCTATTAACCTCTCTATAAAGTACAGTTCAGAATTTAGGAATGGGCTGGGATAAGAAGAGGTTTTGGGTGAGGAATGGAAATGGGGTTTTGGAGGGTGTCTGTTTGGGCGAGGGAGTAGGATTTGGAGTGGTCAGAGGGGGAGTGGTGGTGGATTAGGGGATTTTAGGGAGGAAGTTGGGTTTTGAAGGATAATTGGTTATAGAGAGCATTGAACGATACTTCTTTTATAAAATATAGTAGGTTTATAGTGGTTGATGGATGGGAATAGGTTTAATAGTTCTTTGTACTTGGTAAAGAATGAATTAGAGGGCTTATCAGTAGAGATGATAATATTTATGAATTGTTGTTAATTAGCATTTTCTAGTAGCCTAAAATGATTTCAAAATGAATGCAAAGTTAAGAATTGTCGACAATCTGTTCACCAAAAAATTCTTTATTAATTTTGATTTGAGATTCATTGATTTATAAGAGAAAGTTTGATGTATATTCACAAAAATGCATAGGATATGCTCAATTTCTTCCCTAATTATTCTTTACTACATTGCTTTATTGGTTCTAAGGGTTAGCGATATTATAACCATAAATTTAATGTCTTTTAGATAATTGGTGGAGATTAAAAGTATAATATTTTGACCGACTAAATCACTTTTTTGTCACAAAAAGTCTTTTGAAAAGAAATATTTTGAGCCATAACTCTCGCTTGAAAAGACTCAAACAATACTCTTAAATACATTCACAATGCGCATTAAACTTTGATTCTTGACTATAGCAGTAAGAATGATTATGCTTAATTTAATGGCTAAAATAACTGAGAACCAGAAGAAGATTCCAATTTTGACAGAAAATGGCTTCAGCCCTCATAGTTTTCAAGAATTAGAGTTTTTGCTTCAATAATGTGGTAAAAACATTTTGATTTAAATTAAATTTTCTTCAAAGTCACAAAGAAATCGTTTGTCTTCTGTATTTATTTTATTTCTCAGCAAATCATAAGAAATTCAAGTTCTGAAAATAAATTCTGTAATATTTCTGATAGGATAAAACCTAGATGAAATAATACTCTGACCAACTGATCTTGAGCTATATCTATCTTTGGTCATTTCTTTAGCATAATCAGAGACTAACGCACCTACTTTAGACTTATGTTTTCATTAAAAGATCAATCTAGTGAAAAAAAATAGTTTGAATGGAAAATCTAGGTGAAATGTGAGAATTTTTGGTTGAAATGCTACCCTCAAATTGTCACTCTGAATTATTTCGAAAGATTAAAGGATTCTGAAAATCAATTGGAGAATTCCATTGCTTGACAATAAATTCTGCTATCTCTTAGCAGTATTTGGCATAAAGAGCATATTAAATTCTGAAAAATGGGATTATGAAATTAATGGAGGAAATGAGTAAAGTTAGAGATGTAATTTTTGATTTTAGTTTACCTTCTCTATCCATTAAAATGTAATATAACAGTATTCTTAAGTCTAGAGAAAAATTTATACAGCATATGAACATTTCAGAATTATGCAAGACACCTATCCTTAAAATCTGTGATTTTTCATAAAAAGGACAAACAAAACCCCCAATCTCGCCAAATCTCTATCCACTCTCTCAACCTACTTATCCCTCTTCCAACATCTCTCCATCCCCTCTATTGTCCCACCACCCCAACCCCTCTTCCTTCACTCCCTGACCACTCAAATCCTTCAGTTTCAATCTGCTCCATGAATCCCGGGGTTTTGGGGTTTTGGGGTTTTGGGG